GCTGAGGCCGGGGGGGGCGTTTGTCCAGCAAGGACATGAGATGATGCTCGAAAGCACGACGTCTCGCGTATCTCGCACTGGCCCCCTTCCTGTTGCCTGCTCTTGCTCCATCCGCACCTTGCGGCGGGAGGATGCGCGGACGGGGGACCGCTCAAAAGTGCTCCCGACTCGGAGCGGCCGTCTGGCGCACCCCTGCACCCATCCCCCTCCTTCCCTCCATTCTCCCCGCCCCGCCCATCCCCCGCCCCCCTCCTCCCGTCTACTTTCCGCCCTCCCACCTGTTGCGCACCTGCTCCACGTCCATACCTTTTCGCCCTCGCGCCTTGGTGCATTGCCCTCTGTCATGAGCCCCCTTGACGATATGCAAGGCTCCCCCTCGCCAGCGAGCTCACCCCACGATGACAATCAGTTCGAGGATGGCGGTGCGTGTGTGCCCTTCCGCTGCGTGGAATCCCTCGCCCGCGTGCTGACCCCCTGGCCATTTTGCCTGATGTCCCTCAGATTTCCAGCCCAGCTCTCCCGGCAGCGAGTCCGGGTTTGAGATGATCAGCGAGCAGGAGAATGAGAATGTCCCTGTGGCGGCCGAGGTCGCCGACGAGGCGGCCCCTTCGGTGGAGGTCATCGCGCAGCCGAGTGCGCTCCCTCCCTCCCTCCCTCCCTCCCCCCGCCTCCCTTCCCCCTTCGTCTTCTCTTCCTTTGTTCTCGATGGCTCCCCGCCGCCACTGACTGACTTAACTTACCCCTTCCTCCGTCTTTCCTCCCACGCCCAGGCGCCGAAATTATCTCCGTCGACACGCCCAATTCAGGTATCCACCCTTCCATCTCCCTTGAGTCTGAGTCCGAGAGCGAGGCTGTGGCCGAGTCCGAGAGCGAGGTTGTGGCCGAGTCCGAGAACGAGGTTGTGGCCGAGTCCGAGAACGAGGTTGTGGCCGAGTCCGAGAGCGAGGTTGTGACTGAGAGCGAGCCCGTGACTGAGAGCCAGCCTGTGACCGAATCTGCCGAGGAGGCCGAGGCATCTGGGCCCGATGCTGGTGGCGAAACCCTCGAGATCTCTGAGGCCGACAAGGCCGAGAATCCCGAGGCTGCCACCGGAATTGACTCCGAGTCTGGGGCCACCGCTGAAGCAGCTGGAACTGAGACCAGCCATGCGGACGCTGGGGCTGATGTTGACGCTGGGGCTCAGGTCATGACCGAGCCTGAGATTGTTGCCGATGCTGGTGCCGAAATCGATGAAGTTAGCGCGGAGCCTGTTGACATGTCTGAGGTCGAGGCTGAGACCCAGGATGTCGAGACTGCCGAGTCCGAGGCCGCTGATGCCACCGAGGCCGAGGCTGCTGCCGAGGATGGTGTTGTCTCTGACGCTGAGATCGACATCAGCACCGAGGTCAAGGCTGATCTTACCTCTGAAGTTGCCGAGGCTGCTGAGGCTGCTGAGGCTGCTGAGGCTGCTGAGGCTACCGAGGTCGCTGAGGTCGCTGAGGTCGCTGAGGTCGCTGAGGTCGCTGAGGTCGCCGAGACTGAGGTCACTGAGGCTGCTGAGGCTGCCGAGGCTGCTGAGGCTGCTGAGGTTGCTGAGTCTGCCGAGGCTGCTGAAGTCACTGAAGTCACTGAGGTCACTGAAGTCACCGAAGCCGCCGAGACCGAGACTGAGGTCACCGAGACTGAGGTCACCGAGACTGAGGTCACCGAGACTGAGGTCACCGAGACTGAGGTCACCGAGACTGAGGTCGCTGAGGCTGCTGAGGTCGCTGAGGCTGCTGAGGTC